CATATGACCCGTTTTGTGTGTTTGCTGTCAAATAGTTTGGGTTTTGCTGAGCACTTCTTTAATAAAATTGGGAAATTTCCGGCTATTGTTTCTTCAAATCATTTTTTACTTTTCTTGTGTTTTGTTTTTGGGAATTTAGTCATATATGTAAGGCCTTTCTACATTGTTTCGCAGGTGTCTGGAGTTTGTGCTTTGCTCTTTTATTAAAATTTCTTTTTTTTCTTTTTTATCTATTGGATAAATTTTATTGGTCTGTGATTCCATTCAATGTCACTAACTTTGCTTTCTGTCAATTCCAATGTTCTTCAAAGCCCATAGAGTAAATAGTTTTCAGAAGCATATGTACTTCTATTTAATTTTATATGTTTTAGCTTTTTAAAGAGAATACAAAATAATGATAACAAAAACACCGGAGTTGTTATAGCTAAATGGAAAGTAAAAACAAGGATGAGAAGGACAAAGGAAGGGAAAAAGGTATATTTATGTACATACATAAGCAGGACAATGTGGACAATTATACTGCTGACCTCTGTTGGTCTTTTGAAAGGAGCAATAAATGCTTAACTTTTAAAAATTTTTGTTCTTTTTTAAAACATTTCTTATAACTTTTTTTCTTTTCTCTCTCTTTTTTTTTTTTTTTGTGGCTGGCTAAGCCCACCCTGGGGACAGGCCTGGTGAAGCATGTGGTGCCAGAATTGATCTGTGGTCCCTCTGCTTGCCTAAGCTTGCCTAAGCAGGCACTTTCCACAGCTGAGTTATCTTGCCAGCCTTTATAACTTTTTGTTGTTGTTTTGTTTTGTTTTTAACTAATTTTGCATGTTTATATCTGGTAACCTAGGCAACTAATTTGAAGATAATGTCGTACAATACAGCAACCATTGTTGAATTCCTATTACTTTGTTTAGTGAAATTTTGTATAATTTCTAGTAGCTTTTTTTTTTTACTATTTTATATTCTTTACAAAAAATAAACATTATAAAAAGACGTTAGAAATGATAGAGTTTCCCCAAACAACATAATACAAATTTTATAGTATTTGCTGTATTGCATAGTGTTGTCTTCAAATTAGTTATTTAGATTACTAAATATATGCATTAAAAATTTGAAAAAAATGGGCTGGTGAGATATCTCAGGGGCTAAGTGCCTGCTTAGGCAAGCGCAGGGACCAGGGTTTCATGCCCCGCACCACATGCAGCACCGGCCCCACCACCTGGGGCGTTGAGCCAGTCACTGAGACTGGGTGTGGTGGCTATGCCTGTAATCCTGACACTGGGGAAGCTGTAAACAGGAGGATCATTATGAGTCCAACCTGCATAGTGAGGTCATGTACCAAATACATAAGTAAAAAGAATGGGAAAGTTATAAGAAATTAACAAGAGGAAAAAATTAAACATTAACTGCTTCTTTCCATAGACCACCAGAAATCACCAGTACAATTACCCAAGCTGTCCTGTGTACATATGCAGATAGATCCCTTCCACCTCTTCTCCTCATCTCAATATTCCCTTCCCTTGGAACAGATTCTTTCCCTTTTCATAGTGTCTATTGTACCTTTAGATTTTATTTACCATTCATGTCCTTACACTAACAAAACACTGTGATGTTTGCACATGCAGGTATGACTTATTTCAACTAAGAGTATGGTCTGTAGTTGCATCCATTGACTGATAAAGTCTTCAAATTTATCATTTTTTTATATCTGAATAATACTGCATTGTGGAAAAGTACTACATCATCTTTGTTTATTCCTTAGTTAACAGGCATTTGAGTTGTTTCCAAGATTAACTATGACAACCAGGAGCAAATGCTGGAGGGACTGTCGGGAATAGGGAACTCTTCTCCACTGTTGGTGGGAGTGTAGATTGGTACAACCACTGAATATCAGTGTGGAGATATCCAAAAAGCTGGGATTGGAGGTCCCATTCAACTCAGCTCTTCTTCCTTCCAAAGGAATGGAAAACATCACACCATAGCCAAATATGTGCACCCATGTTTAGGGCAGCACAACTTGTATGTAATAGTTTTTAATTTTTTAAATTTTTTTTTGTAGTAACCGGGGATCAAACTTGGGACCTTGCATTTATTTGCTCGGCAGCCACTTAAGCTACTGAGCTATCTCCCTGACCCTAAATATTTTTTTAAGTTGCCGGAATTTTCTACTTTCATTTTCCAACACCTCTTACCATAACTCTACTCCTAGCTTTTAGTCTTATTCTATCAGTGTAACACTCAGATCACCCAGAGACTAGGATCTGTTGGTTATCATTTTTTGGCTTTCTGTGAAAGCAAGGCACCTCTTCTTGGCACTTCATAAGTTTACGCTGATTTTGGGTATTGTGGAACTTTCAACCCTTTTGTATTGTTCCAGAAAGAACTTATGTTCTTGTTTTAATAATTTCCCACTCCAAGTGCAAAACTTAACAAGTCTTGAATTTGGCAGTAGTTCATATGTCATTTTAGATCACATTTATTTTCCCTCGTGTATGCATGGGTCATGGATTACTCAAAGATGCTTACATTTTTGAACATATTTTATCATTTCTCTTCTTTCCTCTCCCTTTTCCTGACTTTACTGTGTTTGTGACTGCCCCAGGCTCAATCTGTATTTCTGGCATATTTGCTATGGAGCTTTTCCTTCCCTCTCTTGCTGTGTTAACCAAAGCTGCCCTCAGGTCAGTGCAGCAGAACAGAATTATGGCATAATTTCCCTGCAAAACTGGCCTGCTGGTGCTCATTTATTAATGCCCTTGTGTGGTTGTTCCATAGATTTTTATGCAGAGCTTAACGTTGTTTTCAAGGACAATTTAGGAAAAGCCTGCTCTTCTGTGTCATTGGTAGATCTGTTAGCATCCTGAATTCCCTCTCCTGTGACATATATTTGTTGCTAATGATAGCGTGGAAACTGCACTTTAAAATCTTTTTGCTAAGACATTCACCCTTGTTCTTTACTTTTTATTTTGAATGACTTTATTTCTGTTATTGAGATGACTCACATAAGAAGTATGCGTACTTAATATTAACAAACTGCTAATCCCTGTGGAGTTTTACACATGCTGTATATATTTTAGCCATGCACTCCTGTGTGTGTGAGATCTCTACTTTTATAAATGATGAGCTCTAACTTGTCTGTGTTCAGTTAGATACTGAGAAGCAAAGCAGCACAATAACTCTAAAATTTCCCAGTATCTTTAATACAACTCCCCAAAAGATAAAATGATTAAAATATTTTAACAGATATATTAGCTTATCTTTGTTTTTACCTTAGCATTAAATTTTATACTGATATGGCTATGCCATTAAATTATCTAAATTACTAGCATTTATTTTTTATTTTTAAAGAATACAAAATAGTAATAGAAAAAAAATAGCATTCGAAATGGCAGAAGAAGGATGGGTGGATAGCTCAGTGGAATAAGTGCTTTCCTGGAAAGCACATGGTCCTGAGTTCAATCCCTGGTACTGAAAAAAAAAAAAAAAAAAGACACAAGATTTCACTTCAGTGATGGGATTTCAACAATTGTTTCTGTATTATATGATGCTATCTTCAAATCAGTTGTTCAGATTACCAGATAGAAACATGCATTAATAATGGTTAATGTATTGCATATTGTTATCTTCAAAGTAGTTGCTCAGATTACAAGATGTGGGCATGAAAAATTTAAAAAATATGAACACAAACCATTCTTCTGGATGAACTAATAGAAATTAGTATAATTATCTTAGCCCTCAGCTATCATACATATGTGTGCATACATATAGATAGATGATATAGATATAGATATAGATACATAGTTTTTTTCCCTTTCTTTTCTACTTTGCCTCACCATGGTTGTTCTTTCCTTTTGATTAGTTTCTGGCCTTTTCACAATATCCAGTATATGTTTTGATCTTATTTAATCTTTCAGCTTCTTGCACTAGGGAGACAATAGAATGTTTCAAAATGTGAGAATGAATTATGTCACTTATGAGTATGGTCTCTAGTTGCATCTATTTGCTTATAAACGCACTGAGTTTATCTTTTTAATGAGTAGTACTCCATTGCATGAAAATACCACTTCATTTTCATCCATTCCTTGGTTTATGGGCATTTAAGTTGTTTCCAAAATTTAGCTATTATAAATTGTGCTGTTATAAACATGGATGCCCATATATCACTGTGATGTGATGCTTTTTATTCTTCTGGTAAAATATCCAGAAGGGAATAGTTGGAAACTACTCCTAGTTTTTTGAGGAATCTCCACACTGAGTTCTGTGGTGGTTGTACCAGTCTACATTCACTCCAACAATGAAGAAGGGTATATTTTTTTTTCACAGTCCTGCCACCATTTGTTATTTGTTGATTTTTTTGATGATAGCCAGTCTTTCTGGGGTGAGATGGAATCTCAAGTGTTGTTTTAGTTTGCATTTCTTGAATGAGCAATAATGTTGAACATTTTTTCTATACTTATTTGCTACCAGCAGTTCTTCATCTGAGAAGTGTGTTTTCATTTCTGATGCCTATTTTTGGATTGCATCCTTGAATTTGGGGTGCCTGATTGTTTTTCATTGCTTTATATGTTCTAGATAGTATTCCTTTGTCTGAAGGATAGTTGGATAATTTTTTTCCCCACCTGGGTTGTCTTTTTACTCTGTTGGTGATTTATTTTGATGTTCAAAAACTTTTTGATAGTAAACTAAATCACTTGGAAGACAAAGGAGAAATCTTGAAGACATAGGGATAGGCATAAAGTTCATGAACAAAAGCTTTTCTAAATCTCTGCTAATTTTGTAAGTACAGCAGTGAGCACTGATTATATTAGGTATCATTACCTCCCCTCCTTTATAAAATAATTTATGTTCTCAAAATGTGTCATTGAAATGCTTATTCTGTGTGTTAATTTTAATTCAGGCTGTGATCATTTAACAAACTGATTGCTTGATTATTTTTACTTTGTATACTAAGGATATATACATTTTATCTTGTTTGTTTTGTTGTTGTTGTTGTTGTTTTTTCATTTCAGGATCACCAAACTATTTTGAGAGCATGGGCTGTAAAAGATTTTGCTCCAAATTGCCCTTTGTATGTCCAGATACTAAAGCCTGAAAATAAATTTCATATCAAATTTGCTGGTAAGTTTTTAACCTGAAGGAGATCCTTTCAGTTACTACTTCACTCTCACAGTGTGGTTTAACAAATATGTCTTTGAGATATTAAAATTGCTTTCCCTTTGATCATGTACTGGAAAGTAAGTTCTCCACCGACTGAGTCTGCAGTTTTGTATGTAAGTGTTAATTTTAGTATCTGACTGTATTGGGTTCCTTTGTAAGTGTAAGTAAATAAATTAACAGTGACATATTTGTACCTAACAGAAAAAGTCTTCGGATGCTCTTCATGTATCCTTAAGTTTACACATGAAATATACTTTGGGCTCAAATTTCTCGCCAGGAAATAGAATAATTTATTAATATGTATTTAAGTATAATCAAATAGATTTAAGTTGGTGTATGGAGGGGCTGGTGAGATAGCTCAATGGGCTAAGCATCTGCTTTGGCAAGCTCAGGGACCAGGTTCAATTCCCAGTCCAGTATGCTGCGCCAGCCCCATCCCGAGGGTGCACTAAACCAGTTAACGAGTGGGCGTGGTGGCACACTCCTGTAATCCCAGTACTGGGGAGGCTGAAAACAGGAGGATCACTAGTTCACGCTTCATAGTGAGACTCTGTACCAAATACATAAATGAAAAAAAAGTGTTGATGTATGGAATTTTAAAGGAATCTAAGAAAAGGATACATGCTTAGAGAAAGTCAAGCTTTTAAAAGAATTGAGTACATGAAATTTTGCTTTGAATTGATAGGAAAGTGAACAAAATGAAGCACTTAATTTTTAAAAAAAATGCTTTGGTTGCTGATACACAGTAATTGTTAGCCAGGTATTAATTTATGCATGTGGTGTTTTTTCCATAAACACAATGACCACGATGTGTTTTACACAATATTTCATTTTGATAGTTTAAAGCTTAAGGCCTTTTAAAATAAACTGCCTTATTTTTATTTTTAATTACCATAGGGAATATTTTTGAAAAATAACTTACTGTACTTGGTAATGAATTGTTCTGACAGACTTTTTAGGGCAACAGTAATAATACAAGAACTGAAAAACCGTTAAAAAAATACAATTTCTGTGTCACTTCTTCTTTTGGAAAAGTAATTAGTATTAGGAGCTCCCTTTTCCCCTTTGGTTGGAGGGCAACAAATCCAAGTTGATATGATGATCTCACTCTTTCACTGGTGAAGTTAGCAATAAAGATTAAATGATGGTATCCAAAGCATGAGGAGTGTTCAATAAATGGGAACCAGATCTATGTCATAAAGCACTTTGGGAGTGCAATTTGCGATTTTGAGCATAGGATAATAAAATTCTAAACAGCCTTCAGTTCTTCCTCCCTTTCTTGTACCAAACCACCGATCTGTTCCCCACAGACACATCACACTTGCTTTTATTAACAAAGAAGTAACAGACTATTTTGCTGTTCCTTCAAATATTTAATCATGATATTTATCCACCTTTGAAAACGAGTGATTTATTTCAAATTATATTATTTAAATTATGTCAATGTTTCTCATTTTAATGTCACTTTTAATATCTTTTAGTACTTTCTTACATTCTTTTAGAGCTGAGATTTCAACATTCCAGAAGAGCTAATTTTATATTATGAAAAGATAAAAACACCCTCATTTCACAAAAATCTTTTAAAAAATGACTGACTGATGGATGAAGCTATCAACCCAAAGACTGCATTTTACGTCTCAGCAGGATATAAACTTTATCTTTCAAAAGGCACTGCATTAAGCTGTCCATTGGTTTGTGTCAAGATTAGTAAAATAATGTTCCTTTAAGGAAGCATGCATCCTTAGTGGGTGTCCCTTTACGGTATGACTGCAACCTTTGCTATGTAAAGTCACTTCCACCTCCTTGAGTATGGACTTTCCTTGAAATTGGTTTGCCCTTGGGGGCCTGCCCCTTAGCTCAGTTCTTTAAGTGGCTGCTTCAACAAAGCAGTCAGGCTCAGGTTGCTGTGGTTCGATCCCCACAACACAAGACAGCCAGTCATGCCTTGAAGGCATTCGGCGCAAAAAAAAAAAAAAAAAAGAAAAGAAATTGGTTTGCCCAACATGATGCAGCAGAGAGCCCTGGAAGCTCAGTGCCAAAAGGCCAGTCAGCTTCTGATTTCCTCTTATGTGGAGCACTGACCTTGAACTGCAGGTGCCACGGCCCTGTGTAGCTTCCCTAAGGATCAAAATGTACATGGAAGGTGAGCCTCACCCATCTTGGCACACCATTTGTCCAATCCTAATTTTTCAGCCAGCTCAAAGAATCTTGAGACCTCCAAATTCTGAGAAATAAAAAAAAAATTTTCATTTGCTTTTCATAAGTCACTCCTTATTGGATTTATAAATTAGCTATGTGGCAACAGAAAATAATAATGTCATTTTCTTTTCTAATTTCCTTTTTTTATTGGTGTATCTTGCAGCACAGGATCATTACTTTCTCAGTGAGAAGTTGGTGCATGGACACAGAACATCTTAATTCTTTTTTCAAAAATCTGTTTTTTTTTCCTCCCTTATCCTTTCTCCTTGTCTTAGTCTCCTTCCTTTTGGCAAAAGATGTATCTCTCATCTTTTACTTTTTTATTTATGTTTTGAGCTACCCACATAAAAGAGATCATGTCACATTTAAGCTGGTATGTCTGATTTATTTTACCTATTATTATGGTTTTAATGTTCACTGTGTTCCTATAAATGACACAAGTTTATCACTCTTTGTGGCAGAGTAGTACTCTATTGTATACAAGTACTACCTTTTCTTCATCTCTTCATCTGTTGATGGAAATACAGGCAGATTTCACAATTTAGCTGCTGGAAACATGGCTATGTGCATATTAATTACTGTAATGGGCTATCTTTAACTCTTTCTAGAAGATGTCTGGGAAGAGAAAAGTGAGTCAAATGAAATTTCCAGTTTTAGTTTTTTAAGAGATCTCTATACCTATTTTGATAGTTGTTGTACTGGTTTACAATTCCATGAACAAAGCAGACCAGTTCACCTTCTCCACCCCAGAGCCTCACCTGTATCTATTTGATTTCTATGTCAAAGCTCTTTTTTTCTGGAGTTAGGTTTGATGTCATTTGCATTTTAATGCTAAACTTTTTCATTGTTTATTGACCAGTTGTGTTCAGCTGTGAAGTATCTGTTCATTTTAGTTACCCATTTTTTATTGATAAACTTTGTGAATTTTTTTGAATTCTTTGTATATTCTAGATATTAGACCTCTGTCTGAGGATTGCTGCCAAACTTTTACTTCAATTCTGTAGACTATCTCTACATTCTATTGGTGGTTTTCTTTGCTGTACAGTAAACTCTCAATTTGATATATTCTTATTTATCGATTATTGGTATTATTTCTTGTGAGACTTGGGTTTTCTGTAAAAGTCCTTGCCTTTCATGTGTCTTCAAGAGCTTTATTTTTATCTTCCATCATATTATATGTTTCTCTTCTAACATTTAGATCTTTTATCTGTTTTGATTTTAGTTTTGTACATCTAGATTAGCATCTAGGTTGCATGTGGAAAACCAATTTTCCAAGCATCATGTGTTAAGGAAGTTGTCTTTCCTCCAGTATATATTTTTGTGTCCTTTGTCAAAGATTGACACTTGGATGCTCCTGGAGTTATTTCTGTATCCTCTGTTCTATTCCATTGATCTCCTTGTCTTTTTTCTTTTTTTTTTTTTTCATGTGGAACTAGGGATTGGACTCAGCCCCTTGTGCTTGCCAGGCAAGTGCTTATTTTACTGAGCCATCTCCCTGGCCCTTCTTTTTTAAATGAGGCTGTTTTCTCACTGTTGTTTTGTACTAGAGTATCACATGAAGTTTGAAATTGTGACACCATCCTGCTCGGCTTGTGCTGCTCAGGATGGCAGGCAGGTAATAGTGGTTATGACAATGTAATTTCTTTCATTCTATATCATATTCCTTTGATAATATTATTAAATTATTGTCCTTGTATTTTTTTGAATATAAATAATCAAAAAATAGAATAAGACATTTTTATTTCCATTCATTTAGTGGAATTCTTACCATGAGTAAAATTTATGCACTTGTAAATGGCCGTGTTATTAAAAGACACATAAAATGCAGAAACTTCAAAATTAAATATAGAAACCAAAACCAGTATATCAATTTAGTTACTGTTACTTTATATAAACATATCATTCAAATGGTTTATTTCCTCTGAGTAAGTAACCATAGACAATCATTTAATTATTGAATTGTCAAATGACTATTTGAGTGAATTTTGCTCAAATCATTATCCTATTACAGACAATTATTTAGGACACACATGAAACAGATGACAGAAGGAAAAGTCCATGTAGATGTGACTTTAGAAACACATGTGCATCCACACGTGCACACACACACTCCCTCTTATTCCTGTCACCAAGAGAGAAAAATGATATTAAGGACCTTAGAGGGAGGCAGGAACAAAATGTACAGTAAAATAATAGTTACAGTACGACCTTAAGATATATGGAGACTCAAGTAGCAAAAATATAATTCACCAACAATTTGATTAGTTTTATGATCGCACATTTTCCAAACAGAAAAGAAAATTCAACCTTGGTCACAGAAACAAGTTTATTTCCAGCTCTTTGCTGTGTTCATAATAAATTTGTCTAGGCATAATGATTAAAGCAACAAGTTTTTTGAGTCTTTTTATTTATTTGGTACAGGGTCTTGCTATGCGGCTCAGACTCATAGTGATCCTCCGATGTCAGCCTCCCCAGTCCTAGGATTAGAGGTGTGTGCCGCCATGCCCAGTTTCCATGGCCAGTACAGCATGCTCCGGGGCCGACACGGCCTCGATACCAAGGATCGAACCCATATCCTTGGGCTTGCTAGGCAGGCACTTAGACAATGGAGCTATCTCTCCAGCTCCTAAAGTAGCAAATTCTTAAACTTTTCTTTCTTTCTTTCTTTCTTTCTTTCTTTCTTTCTTTCTTTCTTTCTTTCTTTCTTTCTTTCTTTCTTTCCTTCCTTCCTTCCTTCCTTCCTTCTTTCCTTCCTTCCTTCC